ACTGTTTATGAAGAATACGGCATCAGGATTGAAGGAAAACTCATTAACAACTTGTGCTATGCAGATGACACAACCTTGTTTGTTGAAAGTGAAGAAGACTTTGAAGCACTTACTGATGAAGATCAAAGACCACACAGTCTTTGGTATGTATTACACCTCAACATGAAACAAAAGTCTTCACAACTGGACCAATAAGCAGCATCATGATAAATGGAGAAACAGTTGAAGTTTTCAGGAATTTCATATTACTTGGATTCACAATCAACATCCATGGAAGTAGCAGTCAAGAAATCAGATGTCTTATTGCGCTAGGCAAATCTGCAAAAGATCTCTTTAAAGTATTAAGGAGCAAAGATGGCACTTTGAAGACCAAGGTGCGCCTTACCCAGGCCATGGTATTTACAGTAGCCTCATATGTATGTGAGAGCTGGACAGTGAGTAAGAAAGACTGAAGAAGAGTTGAAGCCTTTGAATTATAGTGTTGGCGAAGAATACTGAAAATACCATGGACTGCCAAAAGAATGAACAAATCTGTTTGAGAAGAAGTGAAGTCAGAATGTTCCTTGGAAGTGAGAATGGCCAGACTTCATCTCATCTACTTTGGTCATGTTGTCAGAAGGGACCATTCCCTGGAGAAGTATATCGTGCTTTGTAAAGGAGAAGGGGTCAGTGAAAAAGGGAAGACCCTCAAGAAGATGGGTTGTCACGGTGGCTATAATGGTAGACTCAATCATAGCAAGGATTGTAAAGACGGCATAGGACTGGGTAGTGTTTCATTGTTGTATATGGGGTCACTATGGTCAGAGCCAACTCAATAGCACCTTGTTGTTGTTGTTGTTGTTATGTGCCATCAAGTCGTCCCCGACTCATAGCGACCTCTCCTTGGGTTTCCGAGGCAGTATCACTTACAGAAGTAGGGTGCCCAACCTTCCTTCCGTGGAGTGGCTGGTGGGTTTGAACTGCCAGCCTTCTGGTTAGCAGTCAAGTGCCTTAGGCACTATGCTACCGGAGCTCCTCCTCAATAGCACCTAAAGTCTTTTTTTTTTTAAACAAAACAAAACATTTAATTGTGCTTTATGTGAAAGTTTGCAGAGGAAATTAGCTTCCCATTTAGTAATTCACACACAAATAGTTTTGTGACATTGATTGTAATCCCCACACTTTCACCCTTTCCACCCTGGGTTCTTCATTTCCATTCTTTGGGTTTTCCTGCCTTTTTATCTTTGCTTTTAGGCAGATATTGCCCATTTGGTCTTATGTACATGATTGTTCTAAGGTGCACATTTCTCATGGGTACTATTGTTTGTTTTATAGTCCTGTCTAGTAGATGGTCAAAAGGTAAACCTCAGGAGTGGCTTCAGTTGTGAGTTAGAAGGACTGTAGTCACAGGGGCTCTTCCAGTCTCTGTCAGGCCAGTAAGTCTGGTCTTTTGGGTAAATTTGAATTTTGTTTAACATTTTTCTCCCACCCTGTCCAGGACCCTCCATTGTGATCCCAGTCAGAGCAGTCAATGGTGGTAGCCAGGTACCATCTAGTTCTTCTGATCCCAGGCTAGTAGAGGCTGTGGTTCATGTGATGCATTAATCCTTTGACTAGTTGCTTCTTTGTGTCTTTGGTTATCTTGATTCTCCTTTGCTCCAGACAGGATGAGACAAGTAGTTTTGTATCTTATCTGGCTACTTGCAAACTTTTAAGACTTTAGATATTATTGACCAAAGTAGGATGCAGAACATTTTCTTTACAAACTATGTTATGCCAGTTAACATAGATGTCCCCTGAGACCATGGTCCCCAGCCCTCACACCCAGGAACTTGCTCTAACGAGGCATTTGGTTGTGTCTAGGATATGAACATGTATGCTGCACATATAAATATGTATGTAAAAGTATCCACAGCCAAACCTATATATGTATGTGGGTATATTCCTAGACTCCTTTATACCTTAATTCAGCATAAATAGCTACCTGTGTATCTGCTTGTATATTATTGTTTGTTTTTACTGCTGTTGTGTAGGGTTCTATGTGTTATGTTGTAGTATTTACTATGATAACAACAACAACAACAACAACAACAAATTTACTGTGATTGCCTTTTTTTTTTTTTTTTTGGCTTTCTATCAGTGTCTTCCTTTGGTTTGGACAAGATGTACTGACTTTCTCTATGTTATATATTGTCTTTCTCTTTACCAAAGTTAACTCATTTTCCCTCTACCCACCCTCTTCTTCCTGGTAGCCATCAATGATTTTTGTGTTTCTTTCTGTATTTAAACTTTTTCTTGACTTTTTATAATAATGGTCTTATACAGTATTGTCCTTTTGTGATTGACTTATTTCACACAGCATAATGTGCTCTGTATTCATCCATGTTGTGATATGTTTCACGCATTCGTTATTGTTCTTTATTGTCGTGTGGTAGTCCATTGTGTGTATATATCATAGTTTGTTTATCCATTCATCTATTGATGGGCACTTAGATTGTTTCCATCTTTTTCTATTGTGAGTAATGTTGCAATGAGCAGGAAATGTGCATATGTGTATTTGTGTGACAGCTCTTATTTCTTTGGGATATATACCTAGAAGTGGGATTGCTGGATCATATGGAATGCATTTTTATTTTAACTAATTTCTAGTTAGTGGTTCTCAACCAGGGTGATACTCACCTCCTGCCAATGGACATCTGCCAGTGTCTGAAGATAATGGTTGTCAGAACTAGGGAAGAGGATACTACTGGCCTCTAGTAGGACATCCCTACAACAAAGTATTATCTGGCTTAAAATGTCAATTGTGCCAAAGTTGAGGACTCTGCTTTAACTGAATTTTAGTATTACCTGTAATTATGAATGTAGGAAACCCTCCACAAGGGCATTAAGAGTACTGTTCTTGTAACTTTGTAGAAATCTTGAATATTTTCATAACATAGTACAGTATTGCAGGTATCTCAAAATATCATTTATTCTCATTTAGTGCTTTGAAATTAAGGTAGTTAATTAGATTGGCATTATTAAAGAAGCAAACATTGCTATAATTTAAAAATGCATTTTGATACCTGTATTTCAATGTAATTGTCCATTGTAATACTTTGTATTTTATTTTATACATTTTAAAACATTCTGAAAATGAGTCTTTCTCCAGCCAAAGAAATCCACAGGACAAAAAAGAAATCCACAAGCCTTAGTCTAGAGGCTTGATTACCAAAAAAAACAAACTCACTGCCATTAAGTCGATTCTGACTCATAGCGACCCCTCCTTGGGTTTCCAAGGTGGTATCTCCATGGAAGTAGATTGCCCAGTCTTCCTTCCAAGGAGTGGCTGGTAGGTTCAAAAGGCCAGCTTTTTGGTTAGCAGTCAAATGCCTTAGGCACTACGCCACTATGGCTCTTAGAGGCTTGATTAGATTGGTGTAAATATTTTTTACAAGAGTATTTTATAGGCGATGATGTTTATTTCATATTCTTATGTGCTCTATCAAATTATCCTGTTACTTAATATTAGTGCTGGCTGTTTAATGGCTTAGTTTAGGTGGTGACAGCCAAATCTCTTCATGAAAGATACATTTTTCCCTTTGAGTTGCTAAGTGAATGATGTAATTGATTGTGTTTCCTTGTGTTAGAAGTATGGAGACCAGTGCATGGATGCTTGGAAAAGTTTTTAGTACTAGAGAGGAGTTTGTGTGGATAAATCTAAACTTTTTTGTTATGGATCCTAACCTTATATTTCTGCTTCTTATTCCTATTTTTATTTTTCTATTTGTAAGATTTTTTGACTTGACTTTTTTTTTTTTCCTTATTAAATCACATATATCTTTCTGGGCCTTGCTATACTTCTCTTTATATACCATGTGATCTCTAAGTTCCCATTTGGCTATAATCTTCTGTTTGTATTCATTCATTCAGAAATATTTATTAATGCCTGGTGTATATGATAGATATGCTCAACAATACAGGATTATCTGCCCTCTAATAATAAAAAAAAGTGTTTTATCCAGTATTCAACATTGTTTTATTCATAAAGTCTTACCTGATACTGTAGCCTATGTTGTTACATTATCCTCTCCCATGGTTCCTTCAACATTTATTTAAAACTGTAGACATAGATTAACTTGTGTTTTGCTTTAATACATTTGTTTTAAAAACTTAATGCAATTGCAGTCTCCTTGAAGAGTATCACTTACAATCATTTAACATAGTGACAGTAACAGAATGGTAATAATCATAATGATAGTAGATAATATTTATGAACAATAAATTTGAGCCAGGCATTATTTTAAATGCTTTCTGTACATATTTCCATATATATATTTCCTTTAATTCTCACAATGTGTTTATGAGATGAGCTCTCTTATATTCATTTTACAGATGTGGAAAGGCACACAAAGGTTAAACAATTTCCTCAAGGTTACACTGCTGGTGAATAAAGTTGGAATGTGTGTGTAGATAGTCAGCCTTCAGATACCTGTTCTCTTTCCCATTCTCCTGTCCTTGCTGAGGAGCTCTGGTGGCATAGTGCCTAAGATGTTTGACTGCTAACCAGAAGTTTGGTGGTTAAAACCCACTAGCCACTCCATGGAAGCAAGACTGGGCACTCTACTTCTGTAAAGATTTACCACCTCGGAAACCCAAAGGGGGTTGCTATGAGTCAGAATTGACTCGGTGGTGGTGAGTTTGGTTTTGGATCCTTGTTGAATTAATGGAGTGAATGAATCTTTAATATATATTGGATATAATATTGGTAGCTATTTGCATTTTGGATAAAAGAGATTTCAGTTTGGGGAGAATTTTTTTATTAACCAGCACAAATAACTTTTTTAGCAAACTAAATATTAAGACCCACATCTACAACTAACAGTGATTATTCAAATTGTGTACTCATACTTTGAGGGACTTTGAAAGAGCTCTGTTTGAAAGAAAGTATGCATAATACTTATAGATGAATTTTGATTTGTATTATTCCTTGATTATTATTTACTTCTTACTCATTTTCAGCTGAGTGGTGATTTTATGCAATGGCTTCAAGCCACAGTTCTTCACCAGTGCCTCAAGGAAGCAGCAGTGATGTTTTCTTTAAAAAAGAGGTAGACCCAACAAAACATATTCGAACCGTGCAGTCACTGCCAGATGTGTGTCCCAAGGAACCCACAGGTAATGCTTTGTTTTTATTAAATATTTGTAATATCTTTAAATGAGTAGTCAGGTTTCATATACTTTACTTAAAAAGAGTAAATTTTATGATGTTAAAACTAAAGAGATAAATAATTTACCTGTCCATGGTGATCAGGAAAAAAGTTGAGAAATTGAGAGAGAGTTCTTTTTTCATGCATTTCGTAAAAGAAGTTACTTATGTAAACTGAAAAAAGAGCACTGAAAAGGAAGCTTCAGATTGAAAGCTGTTCAGTTAAGTATTTTCTTACTTCGATAGATAATGCCCCAGTAGCATTCATGTCATCTAATTGTAAGCCAAACAATGGATATTGGAGTTAGGACTGTCTGCGATAATATAATAGGAAAAAAAACCTAACTGAAAAAGTATATGGATGTTAAGAGATAGAAGATATACAGTTGAAGATAGTAGTGTTTTGATGTTGAAAAAAAAGATGGCATAATTACACCTTAAGGAAATGAATTAACTATTTTTTTAACCATCCTCCCTACCCTACAACTGTAGCCCTCACATTTTGCATATTCATAATCCTTTATGTGTTTTTCTCCTCCATTGGCAATTGGTATTGGAAGCTGAAAATTATTTAATCAGATTGATTTTTATTAAAACTTTGGCTATGAAAGAGAGTATAGTTGGTTTGACTATAATAGAATTTAAGCAGTTTCATTTTTCTAGAATGTACTTGCAAACACAGAATCAACTTTAAAGAGTTTTCTTGTTTACTTTTTCAGGTGATACAAATAGTTTATGTGTTGCCCCATCTCTAGTTACAGATCAACATAGATGGACTATATATCATTCCAAAGTAAATCTTCCAGCAGCATTAAATGATCCTAGATTAGCAAAAAGAGAATCTGACTTCTTCACAAAAACATGGGGATTGGACTTTGTGGACACCGAAGTCATACCTTCATTCTACCTCCCACAGATCAGCAAGGAACATTTTACAGTATATCAGCAAGAAATCTCTCAGGTAATGTCTAATCTTAAAGTTAGATTTTTAAAAAAAAAAAAAACCAAACTCACTGCCAGTGAGTCATTTCTGACTCATAGCGACCCCTCCTTGGGTTTCTGAGGTGGTATCTCAATGGAGGTAAATTGCCCAGTCTTCCTTCTGAGGAGTGGCTGGTGGGTTTGAACTGCCAGTCTTCTGGTTAGCAGTCAAGTGCCTTAGGCACTATGCCACCAGAGCTCCCAAAGTTAGTTATACACAGGTCAAAAAGAATAGTCAGGAAGGTTTTAAGTTTGATTTTTTTGAGCAGTTTTCTTTGATGAGCCTGTTATTTTCGGTTCATATGAATTCTCTTATCCTGGGATATACTTAATTTTTTGCTTGACTATATTTAAATATATTTCTTTTATTGTGGTGATTTTTCAGAATTACCATTCCTAAATAGTGTTAAGGTTCTACTTGACCCCACCTTAATTACCGTATTAGTTTCCTAGGGCTGCCTTAACAAACTATCACAAATTTAGTGGCTTAAAACAAGAGAAATATATTTTCTCATAGTGTTAAATGCTAGAAATCTGAAATTAAGGTGTTGCTAGAACTATGCTAACTGTGAATGCTCTAGGGAAGAATTCTTCCTTCCTTCTTCCTAGCTTCTTGTGGTTCCAGCATCTTTGACGTTCCTTGGCTTGTAGATGCATCACTCTAATATCTGCCACCATCTTCATGTGGCCACCTTCTCAGTGTGTTTCTCTGTAGTCCTCTCCTCTTTTCATAAAGATACCAGTTACTGGATTAAGGACTCACCTTAGTCAGGTAAGGAGCTCTGGTGGCGTAATGCCTAAGGTATTTGACTGCTAACCAGAAGGCCCACTAGCCACTCCTTGGAAGGAAGGTTGGGCAGTCTCCTTCCATAGTGATAACGCCTCAGAAACCCAAGGAGGGGTCGCTATGAGTCGGGTCCTACTCCACGGCAGTGAGTTTGGTTTAGGTTTTTTAGTCCAGTATGACCTTTTCTTAACTGATAACGTCTGCAAAGAGCTTTATTCCAGATAAAGTCACATTCTATGGTTCTAGGTGGATATGAATTTTGGGGAACACTGTTCAATCTACTACACCTATGAAGGAGAAAATGATTCTTTTAGGCCAGTAAATATAAAGCCCAAGGGAATTGGGAGGTTTAAGTAAAATTAGCAGGGTAGAACTGTTTCTGTGTGTCTCATTTATCACAGACAATTTACTAAAGCATGTTGTTGTTGTTGTTATGTGCTGTGGAGTCAGACCTGACTCATAGCGAC